GTTAATAACACATTTAAAAGTCGACAAAGCTTGTATGATACCATTATTTTAAAAAGATAAAAGTAGTTACAATAGTTTGTGTGCAACATATTGTTAAAAAATAGAAACATTAAAACATATAACATTCAAACTTATTACAAAATATATAAAGGTAAGTTAATTTGTATTTATGAAGTAATGTCTATATATGGTGTTAAAGGTATTTCGTATTCTGAAAAAGAGTGGCGTTTCCCTGTATTACTTTTTTTCGGCTCCAAGTTGTGGGAAGCGCAGCGCCGCCGGCCACCACCTGGCCGATGAAAATGCAGTGGGGTTGCTACGACGACGCTTCCCGATCGTGTGTTGCTCACATCTTCCGCATTCATTGCTGCACTTTCTTTATATTTAAATTTATTTTTTCTTTGGAAATGGTATCACTTATGATATCACAAAAATATGAGAAAATAGGGACAGAGAATTTATCTTCAACAAGAAATATTTAAGAACGAAATTGGCCGAAATCGTGAGTTTTGAATATTAAAATATCAAAATTTTCCCGGGGGGGGACCCCCGGACCCCCCTCTATGCAGGGGGGTATTCCATACCCCCCTGACCCCCCGGTGGGTCTATGTCTGCCGCCCCCCCCTGTACAAGTTTCTGCCGGCGCCCCTGTGGCCACTAGAAGATAGGAATATGGAGAAAATATTGATCAGTATCTTTGAAAACTCAAAGAACTTAGTAAAGCATGCAACTTTAAATCTGTCACTGCTAACGAAAATCGTAATGAGTACATAAGAGACGCTTATTTCATTTGAGGATTAATATCACAGTCCATTCGACTAATACTTCTTGAAAATCTAACTTCGCTCTTGAAGAATCAAGCCATTACCTTGGAGTCAGCTGAAAATCAGGCAGTTTCATATATTTCAAGCCCTTGTAACTCTATATCTCAGTCTACTCCTAAAAATGTTTGTGTTACTGATACCAATGTTTCTCAGGCAGCCTCTAATCAGTCTTCACACAATTATCCTCGTTAAGAAGAGACAAATGTTTCTTTTGTGGACGGTCACGACACTCTCGAGCCAACTGTCCTGCCAAAGACTCAGTTTGTAATATTTGTTGGGAAAGTTAGTAAAAAATTCTAACTAGTTAGAAGTTATTAGTTAGTTAGTTTAAAAAGTAACTGATAGAAGATATTAGTTAGTTACAAAACTAACTGATAGAAAATAAAGTTAGTATTCGTAGAAGTTAGCTGTTTGTTGGGCAGTTGTTTTAAAGGATTTTTTATTGATTGAAGCTTATTGTAGACATTTTATATTGCTCGTCCACATAAAAAAGTTTGTAAGGTAAATTAAGGATGAGTAAATGTCTACCGAAAACGAATTGACTTTACAACTTAATCAATCGTAGTAAGACTGAAAATATTTGTAGGCTTATAAGCTCTACTAGTGTACATGTTGCTCGAATTCATGTTGGACTTTCTCCCCCCCCCCCCGCGTTGTTTGTCTACAAGGGCGCTGACCTCTCACAACCGCACGCAACCCTCACTGATCACGTAAAAGAGTCAACTCAAAGATTACCGGTGTGTAACTCAGACCATGTGTTAGATATCATTTTTGTTTAGTATAGTATATTTTTATTTCAACGCATACTTTCCATTGCCCTGAGCTTTGGTCTCACCATTTATCTTTCAACCCATGTCCGGCCGATAAGAAAGGAATTTCCCGACCTTTGTACTATTCCATCGTACGATGTTTGGCCGCGGCACAGTCCGCTACTACTCCTCTCGACAATAAGTCACTTTTTTCATGCATCAATATGCTCACCGCTATAACCTTTCATATTTCATTACAAATCAAATTCAACCCTCATTAGGCCATAAAAGATCGTTTTTGTTTTGCTTTATAACAAGAAGTGAATTTTAAGTTTATTTTCGTGTACATAAACTATTTCTAGACTTTAAAAAGTGTGCAGTGCGATCCCAGACAGGATGACATGATACCATCAGGTGGGGTACCCCAGCCGTGAACAACTTACTACAACTACAAGGTCGGCGGAAATCTATTTTTAAATATAAATAGAAGCTGAAGTGAGTCATTATAGAATTGAACTATTTTAATCTCATGTAATAAAAAAAAGATCTTTTGAAAAGAAGCTAATTATTTCTGGGTAGGCCTAAGAGCTCATTGCTCACGTTTTATTCTATCACACCATGTTTACATGTTATTCTACACGTGTGACACCATGTTTATCTTCGTTATTGATAAACCTAAAGCATTCCGGCCGGTTTTCTCCTTCTCAAAATGCCTTGCTGTACAGGCATTAACACAGGTCATTGATAGAGGGCCAAAATTGAGAACGAAAAGTCGTTTCGGGGTAGTAGAACTTTGTGAAAAACTGACGTGTCATATGTTTACTGGTGATGTATCACAATTAATTATGTAAATTCTATGTGACAAATAAACATTTCATTTCATTTTAATTAAATTAAATTAAATTTTATTTCATTTCATTTCATTGTTAGGGCGCATTTGTAACCTAATAGTTGAGATTGTCCAGGGTCATATGCTGACTGTGATGAGTTAAGCCTATTACGCGCCACTGTTCTTTAGCTGCGGTCGTTATCACGATTACGCCTCTTGTTTCGTTGTCGTCGCGTCGGAGGCATTTAAAAGAAAAAAAACAAATTAACAAATTATAGCTACACAAAACAAGATAAATGCACAAATTTAAGTTACAATCATACTAACACGATCCGTCATAGCGACACAAAACAAACGATAAATACACAAATTTAAGATACAACCATACTGACACAATCCGTCTTAGGGGTTATGTTTACACAAACTCAAATAGTAAATAAATGTACTCAATGTGTTTTATTGAATTGAATCAAGAAATACAGTAACCTGTCAATTAATTTCTCTTATTTGTTAAAATATATCGAATTGCCCAGGCTTTCTTCATTTTTTACATTGTATGTACAAATGTAAATTAAAATAGTAAATATTTAATTTCAACAAAATCAGTAAATGTACCCAATACGTTGAATTGAAAAATGAATAACAGCAATTAAAGCTGATCAAAGTGTAAACAATTATGTTCTTCATAAGGATAACATGGGAACTTTCAAAGCCACTGGGGCAGAGACCAAGGGAATTAAAAAAAAAAATGTAAGGCCAGATTGCAAATCTACGCGACACGCTCTTTCCAATGAGACGGCAATGGATAAAATCGGTTAAGAAATGGCGGAGGAGTTCAACCGACAAAGTTTCATGTAGCTTATTAATTATATAGATTTTTTACCTCTTGAACAATTCAAACACTTTGAGCAGGCTCGGTCCCCTGGTACTTGTGTCATGTGTTTTAATCAAACATTGTCACACTTTACATTACTACAATAGAAACAATTGACTTACAACTTGTCAGATAATGAACATCAACTGAAGACAATATTTTTACACTTGAGATGATATATGAATCACCAAACAAACATTCTCCCTTCCTACCCCTCAGTGCTTGGGATGTTGATAATGGCCATCACCGCCCTTCCACAGGCCCACTGCACACTGCATTCCAAATCAACTGGACTTCGACTTTCTCCCCCCCCCACCCGCGTTGTTTGTCTACAAGGGCGCTGACCTCTCACAACCGCACGCAACCCTCACTGATCACGTAAAATAACCCGTATTTGAGATGCTTCCGCATAATTGGGAAAGTTAGTTAAAAATTCTAACTAGTTAGAAGTTATTACTGTAGTTAGTCCCTGAAAAAGTAACTGATATATGTATTATATGTATATATGTATTAGTTAGTTGGTTTAAAAACTAACGAATATTGCTATTTGTTAGAATTTCTATTTGTTATTCCCAAGTATGTATTTGTGCCAAGAAAGGCCATTGGGCAACAGTTTGCAATTCTCGCAACCAAAATAGGACATTTAAGGGTAAAACATTCAAAGTTAAATACAGGAATAAACTTAATGTCTTCCTCTCTTGTTGCTGCCTCACAAAAATGTCATTCAAAAGCTACAGTGTCACTGATGTTAAATGGCAAACAAGTAGATGCACTCATTGATATGGGGAGTTCCGACAGTTTTATATCCGAAGCTACTGTTCAAGATTCAATATTTCTGAATACCCAACAAAGCATGAAATATCGATGGCATCAACAAGCGTTAACTGATTTATGTGCCGATGTCGTAATTGGACATGACATCCTTCGGCAACATTCGGCTGTGGAGCTGAATTTCGGTGGTAAACGCCCACCCTTCAACGTTTGCAATCTACTTAGTGCTAAAGTATCACCACCACCACTACTGTACAAATCATTCATCTAATGACGTCAAGCCTGTAGGCATAAAGTCCCGCCGCTACTCTGAAGATGATAATAGGGTAAGCTCATAAAAAGTGAAATAATGTAGGCTTATCTCAGAAGTAATAATTGAACCGAGTAAGTCACATTGGAGAGCCTAAGTGATTGTAGTCAACAATGGGCACAAGAGACGTCTGTGTATTGACTCCCAGATAGCAGACTATTTTTCGGCAAAGTTGCCTTTGATTGGTCGGGGCAAAGTTGTTTCTGCAACTTTGTCTTAACTTTTCATTCGGTTGCCATGGCAACTTTCTTGCCCCTAATGTAATAAAAGTTGCCGCGTCTTTGCAGCAAGTTTGCACCGGCAAACATGTAGTTCGATAGTTAAGCGCGGGGAGCGCTGGTAGGCATATCATCAAAGTTCCATCCAACCTCATTCGTACTCGTTGAAAGGGTCGACGCCATTTTGCAATTTGCATCATAAGCATACTAACTTTCTGCTAATAAATAAGGTTTAGCTTTATTTTAGGCTACTTAACTTATTTTGTTTTTGTAAGTGAACATTTGAAGTGGCTATTTGAAGATCTGCATTTTATTTGGCTATGTATTTGAAGATCTCCTTACAGTATCAGAAAATCCATCAACAAGCTGTGTGATAAGGTAAGTGCATTTAGTTTAAACTACTTTTACCCTCTACAACTTGCACCAAAGAAAATTGTCTAGTCTTGCTTAGAAGTTCATCTAAAAACAACTTTCATGTCCACATAACCACAGAAAACATACTACTAGGCCTATAACCAGTATGTTTTCTGTGACATAACCTAAGATTTACATTAAGTTGGCGCAAGTTAAGTTTGAGTGAGTTTGTTAAAACTTAGCTTCTTATACATACTGCGTGTTTTAAGTCAAGAGAATTATTATTAAAACGTTAAACATCCACGATATTAACAAAGAATCATCTGCACTGTAAGTATAAATATGTGTGTAGCCCAGTAGCTTTGCTATATAACTTAATGACCTAGAAGCTTAATTACTAATGACCATTAATTGGCTAATGACCATGACAATAGTAATTCGGTTACTTTTCTAGTAGCATATTTATGTCTAGTAATTGTTATGTAAACTTAAAGCAACCACAAAGCCTTGGTCTAGCATCTAGGCCTAGTCAATTGAATTGCTTATAGGCCCATAGACATTTTAGGTAGGTAGGCCTACCCTACCGGTAGTTTATTAGTCCTAGTAAGGCCTACGCAGAAGAACCTTGATATGGGCCTATAACTAAATCGATTGTTAAAACAGGCATAGGATCAGGCCTAACCAATCCTATTCCTTTCATAGTTATCTATTTCAGCATTAAACCAATCAAGTTTTTGAATAATGATCAGTTAGCCCTTAGTTGATTAACCAATTGTGCTGGATTGTCTAGGTCCAACACTAACAACTCCTACATAACATAGTTACAAAGCTAATTCCAAGGAAATAGCCAATAAACATTCACAATTCACTTTCATTCCATTCTCTAAATTACTCTCAGGCAAGTCTCATATGCAAATGCCTCTCACACTACTACTGTACCAAGGCACTCGTCAGACATTATTTTGCCTTCCTTTCTTGATTTCAGTTGCTACACAAAGGGTATTTATTCAAAGATGATTTCTCCGAGGCAACTACCAAGAAACATGTGACAATGTGGCTGAACCAAGCTAAAACCAGATTAACTCTAAGGTAACTATTTTAACAGTTTTATCATTTCATTATAGGCCCTATATCCGTATTATATGATCCAAATGAGTTGAAAACACATGTTATTTTTATTGATACTAAGTTAGTTGTTGTGCCCATGCTTTGCTTGGATAATGTGAATCTCTAAATCTACTGTGTAGGAAAACAGTTAGGCTGGTACCGCACACAGTTAGGCTATTCCACACCATACAAATTATACAGGCAAATCTCAAATCGTACAAATTACTTATTTTAATGAAATCTTTTGTGCATTTGCATTATGTATAATATACTTTATACATATAGTTTTACTTCAAAAATTCAATAATTTTGGGTTTGTACGTATGACAGATTTTTTAAAGAACCACATTATTCACTTTATTTGTTCTCTGCCAATTGAGAAGCACAGAATAGTGCCAAACTTATTGCATAATCTAGTTAAATTACCATAAAATATATAGTCTTAAATTTAATAGGATTTAAAATTAAAAACAATAAAGGTAATAAATAATTGTCTTCGGAATTCGTTAAGAGATTATCTTTATCCTATTCTTGTTATTTATTTTTAGGACAGAAAGGAGAAATCAGCTGGAAAACAAGGAAGCCACACTGAAGCTGTCCAACAAGAAGATGGCATGTTTGAGGACTCTAAAGTGTGTTTTCTGCTCCTATATTATAAGAACCACATATTTCATGTTTCTATTTTGCATAAAAAATTGAATACGGTAACTCAAAGTTGAATCATTATATGTATAATTTAATTAATTTTAGTGAACTGCCTAGTGAGGTTTTGGTTTTTTAATTCAATAATTTCTGTAAAAACTAAAAATGGTGTTGACATAGTAAATGTGTTTAATAATTGACCTGACTATTTATTCTCTTTAAGTTTTTTATTAATCTATTATGAGTTTTTAATGGTCACATTAGAAAATGTCTTTCCTTGGCTCATGAAAACCCTTTACTGACCGTGTTTTACTCAATATTCTTTTGTCACAAACTTAATAAAGAATAAATTATTTACAGCTACTTCACAACCCAGTTTGGAAAAGTTGCCACAAAAGAACCATAACAACTTTGTTGCAAATTCGGATGACAACTTTGCCGACAACTTTGCCCCTATGAAACTAGAAAAGTTGCCGCAAAGCTGACACAACTTTTCATGTTTGCCATGACAACTTTGTTGCATTGTTGCCATGACAACTTTGTTGCATCTTTGTCATGACAACTTTGTTGCAAATTTGGATGACAACTTTGCAGGCAACTTTGCCCCCATGAAACTAGGTTGCTGCAAAGCTGACACAACTTTTCATGTTTGCCATGACAATTTTGTTGCAAACATTATAAATTGTCATGGCAAATTTTCAAAAAGTTGCTGCAATTTTTTTTTTGCTATCTGGGTACTCTCAAACCATCAACAAATTCACGCAGCTTGATGCCTACCCTCTACCTCACATTGAATCATTTGTCTCTAAGCTTGCTCAATATAAAGTGTTCAGTATAATCGCTCTGAAGGAGGCATATCACCAAATACCTTTCCGGAATGAAGATAAAGCATTCACTGCATTTGAAGCTACAGTAGACTCCCTCTTATCCGGACTCCTCGGGACCGAGGCCAGTCCGCATAACGGGTTTTCCGCTTAAACCGACGTCGGCAAAAACTCGTTAAAACGGATCGTTTACTGTGATATTAGACTTAAATATAGGAGATCATTGTATTTTGACTTGTGATCACTGGTCTCAAATCTTTCCCACGAGAACAGTCGTTTCAGTACCGCCCACTTCCTGCCGATCTAGTCCGGTTAAACTAATGTGCTGATAAAAATTGTCCGGATAAATAGATGTAATTTCCGCCGAGTGTGGTCTGGTTAAACCGATGTCCGGTTAAAAGGTGTCCGGATAAGAGGGAGTCTGCTGTAATAGGAGACTTTACCAATACACTAGAATTCCTTTCAGCGTAACTAATGGTGTTACGTGTTTTCAAAGAACTATTGACCAGATTATAGAATTCGAAAATCTACTAGACACGTTTGCTTATCCGAGCAATGTAACTGTTTGTGGTCGTAGCCAAGCAGAACACGATCAAAACCTAGAGAAATTCATGGAAGCAACTAAAAAGTATAATCTTACCCTGAACAAAGAAAAATGTAAGTTTTTGTTGGCCAGCATTCCAGTTCTGGGGTAACTTATATTGTAGAAAACATGTCTACCCTAGTAGCACAAATATATATTAAATAAATATGAATTAATATATTTAAAATATATTTTATATATCGAAAGTGTGTATTAATGACCATTTTATATAATATTTAAAATATATTAAATATATAAAAAATATGTTCCAATAATATATTTTAGTGAATAATATTTAAATAAGAAATGTATTTAATATAACTTCCAAACATCCCATGGGGCCTAAACATAAAAACACAAAATAATAAAGATTTAGTATGAAAAGCACAATTATCAGTTGAGTAAATTGATTAAATAGTTCATGTAAACAAATTTTGAAAAAAAAACTAGAAAAACATTTTTTTGATCTGGATGGGTCTTGAACCTGGGTCCTTCGACTTATGAGCCTCTTACCTTACCCCTGAGCTAACTGTGATTGTTGAGGGATTAAGTTTTCAAATGGTGAAAGAGTAGCCGACAGTTGCAATGGTTGCAATACTTAAAAAATTTTTGATACTACAGTATAATATGATTCTGTTAATCTGTTTAGGCATCAAGTAGTTGAGTTGAATAGTGCTGTAGTGAATAGCGAGTAGTGCACACAAATACAAATACAGTAAACTACAAAAATTATTCAAATGCTATAAAAATACTATGCAATTTTTGACATAAGTAAATCAAATAATTATTTGTAGAACGTCATATACAACCGTAATTAGTTTCTTAAAAGGTTACAAATACAGTAAAGTACAAAAATTAATTTAAATACTATAAAAATATTATGTAATTTTTGACAAGTAAATCAAATAATTATTTTTAGAACCTCATATACAACCGTAATTAGTTTCTTAAAAGGTCCCCAGTCACTAGCACCCTTTTCTTTGTAGCTAATCATTCGAAATTTCCATGATCACATTCATTGTCACATATTGCAACTAAAAAAATAAAACCCATCAACACCTTTTACGTTTGACCCACATGTAGCTGTCGAACATGTATACTGCCTCTTAACTATATGCGTATTTTTTTTCTTTAAATGCATGATAGAAGTGACACCATATAGAGTATGTATTATTATTTACTTAATTTTAACGCTTTCAAAATGGCAATATTCATAAAAAAGAAATGCATATATAAATTTATAGACGCTATAAAAAAAACCAAAAGATGTGAATTATTTATTTGCCAATTATAATAGATTATATAAAATATTCTACAAATATATTATTATTTTATTAATAAAAATATCTGACGAGTTTCAATATATATATATCAAAAATATAATTATAAATACTAGAAATATATAATATAGTTTCAAAAATATTATATATATATATTTAAAATATTCTCAACGCAAAATTTTTTAATATTTAATAGGAATAATATACATATAAAATACCGTATGTATATTATAGATTCTATACTTATTTTATCAATATATATTATGAATCTATTTTAAATATGCAAAACTTATATTTATTTGATATTTTGCATTGCTTTTTGGTAATATTTTAAATATATATATTTGAACATATCAAACTATTATTAAAGATATATTATTTATATATTTTATTCGAGGTTCTATCAAATACAACTTTGAGTAATAGGCTAGGCATATTAGGAATATAAGTGGCAGTTAGCGGAAAGTTTAGGTACAGTCCTAATCATCGCTTTTCTTTATGTTTTTTGGGTCGCTGAACACGAATATGAGGTTTGCTGACAGATATTTTGCCCGGAACATTGGTTATTTTGTGAAAAACCTTAAAATTTGGACACTTTTTTTGGTTTTTCGGGCAAATCTCGGTAAGTATGGGTTTTTGAGAAAATCCTGCTTTGTAAAATTAAAGATGACAAAATTTACTACAAGTTTCCTATATAATGTTTGTTTCTACGACGAACCGATTCGCCACTAGAGCACACTAAAAAAGGCAAGAAGTACAACAAATTAAAAACATTGCTAAATGCTGCCGTTTTACATTAGGTTTCCATGGAAACAACCCATGTTACGATAATTTTAACTATTTATTCATGATAACAAACTGAAACACACTTAAAAATACCCCCGCCACAGCAAACCTGCAGACTAAGCGAATTTCCATTTCCCTAATTGTATTTACACTGAAATGTCTCCTTAGAAATATGACATTTATTCCCTATTTAAATACAAGTTTAACGAGTACCTAGGTTTGCTGCAACAGGGAGGGTAAAAAGGTGTTTTTTGTAAAATGTAATAATTTGGTACATGAAATGAATACATTTTCAAAATTTGATCAAAATATGTTCATAAACAAGCAAACTACAACAGTTTACTTAGTCGCAATAAGAATAACATGATCATTTTAAATTTACAGATTTTTGGAATTTTCTCCGTACCCATTAGGCACATATCAACGCTTTAATATACTAAATTATTTGTTTTTTTTAAGCTCTACAAAATGATATGGAATGAAATCGCTAAATTTTAAGTTTATAGGGTCAAAAATAGGAAAAACTAATTTTTTACCCCATAAAACCCCCCATAAATCCCTGTTCCCATAGTCCGATCATGCTGGGCAAAACCAAAAATGAAAATAAACCCTAACCGTTTTACAAAGGTTTTACATTGGGTTTCCATGGAAACAACCCATGTTACGATAATTAGAACTATTTATTCATGATAATGAACTGAAACACACTTGATAAATCTATGCCAAGATGTATGACTGACTGCTGGAACATTTCCCGTTCCCACAAAACCCCCATTTATTTTCTCAGCACAGGGATGTTGCTGGCCACAGGGTTGACTGCTATAGTGATTGAGAAAAAAGGATGAAACACATTAAAAGAGTTGTAGATAACTATTAACTTTGGTAACGTCAAATTCAGACGAGTAGACCGTGTCCAGCCACTTGCCATAGAATAACACGATGAAAGTAGAGAATTCTTACCCGTATACCCCAACACATTGTTTCAACGTATCAGCATCGCTAAGAATTCTGATGAAGAACTAAAACACTTCTTGTCCTACGAACTGGGTCCATACTCTTTCTCGTTGTTTGATAACAACGGTTTGCACAAAGAACCAAATCAAATCTTTAAAGGCCTAAAGCCCCTGTCCCCATTGAAAACAAGCACTTCCATGGCCAAGTGTAGTATGTTATTGATGGTGGGTTCCTACTACACAAAAGTTATGACCAGAGCATCGACCTTTCAACCATAAAAAACCAAGCATCAACCAAGAAAAACTTAATCGACAACATACTCACCACTCCTTGCCTTGCTATAAAGAAGAAAACTGTAGGCAGCTGAGAATATTCAAAGATAAACTTGGTCCTCAGTTTCTTACCCTTGAGGAAGCCTTAGAAGCAAATGAGGATGTGGAAGAAAATGTTTTTTTCTCTCATCTTGGGCCCATAAAAAAATGGATGGAATGCCAACCTTCAACCCGAAGAGAGTGAATTACATGATCCTACCAACCAACCTATTAATGAGGTTATTAACATTATAAAAAGAAAGATTGTCTCCATTTTCCACAATTTAATCCTAAAAGACGGGTATTTCTTTCAGGTTTAGTTTTGTGGTCAGAAGACACACTAGTTAGTTTATTAGTGAATTTCCCCTATAGGGAATAAGCTATTACCGTATTACTCATGGTAAGACCTGGACTCGGGACACTTTATATACG